TCTTTGTGGAGGTCTTTGAGAATTTTAGTTAACTGACCCTCGACGGCCTCTGACCGATCTTTGTCCTTCTTAGATTTTGAGAACTTTGTGCAATCTGTAATCCTTCTAGAGCCACTGTATGCCATCAGCTGACCTTACCAAGTCCTTGATACTTAAAAATGTGTCACTTTGTTAGTCCTAGAAATCCAACTTCTTAATGCATGTGAATGCTGATCAGCTTAGGGTCGAAATGCATCATTCATGCTATCTGCCAATTAATGTAAAATATATGCAATCACATGTATAAATTGCTGTCATGTGTTTAACCTAAATAAGACAGTGATATACAAAAAACACATTCTTTACAGATGACTACCTATATCGTGCATAAAGACATACATATAGTTAGAATTTAGCCTATTAGAAAGATTAACAAAGCACCTATTTAATATACTTTTTCATAAGGGCTAGATTATAAGAATGAGCAAGTGTTAAGCTCGTTCGCAAAACCTCGGCTGATTGAAATCAAAAAAGATACGAGATACAATTCGACTTTTATCTCAGTATTATTTGTTTCGTAGAGTACACGTTTGCTTTGAACTTGCAAATTAGCCGCGCATTGGTGTGTGACATTGACGGTTGCTTAATAAAATGTTTTATAACCATAAATGTAGAAATACGTTTCGATGCTCTACCCAAGGCGATGAGACTGAGTTTGCCTAATCTCACTACGATAACAAACGACAAATATTTTGCAACAATACTGCGCCACAAAAGGACTCCTGTTGTGGTTTCTTTTGTTTACTTAAGGTACTTGTTTTCATTTAACTAGAGGAAACAGAATCTTGTTTCATAAATGTGAAATAATCGTAAATTATCCCCTGAATTAAGGTAGTGTTGCCATCAAAGGGTGGCGTTTCATTGAAGGTACGTAGATGTGGAAGTCGATGAAGTGAATTTCTTTAGGCAATGTAGATTTATCGACACTTCTCGGTACCGATGTGACATCATCTAATATTCGTTTGCAATACCACGGACTTATTTCTATTTCAACATAAATCAGAAATTGTAAATGTATTTTTTTTGTGTTTTATTGAGTGGCAGACAACATGATCAAAGCAATTTGGCCCTAAACTCATCTTTCTTGATTATCTATGTTGATACAAATCACTCTTCAGTAATTTAATCTTCCTCGACTAACGAAATGACGCATGCTCATATTCTTTCTGTCTATCACCTTCTTAAGTGCTGTAGTCTTCCCATGGTTGGCTAACGAAATGCAACCGCCTTCCAAGGGTTGCAGTAAGACCAAGATGTAACGGAGGCGCTCAGTTAATTTCGGTGGAAACAGCACGTCATTTCGTACTTTAATAAAAAGTGTCATAATTGGCCATGATGCAGAGCCCTATACGGCAGAATTCTCTCAAGCACTGATACTAGAATGTACGTGCATATCTAACTGTAGAGAATATTGTGGATGAACATAGGCTGTACAGCTTTTAGGAGATAACTCTTTTTAGCTTCGCTGAATAGGCGTTTATTATAGAAAGACAGAGAAATGAGCTTTATTTTTAAAAAAATTCCAAAAGATTGACCAACAACGTCGGCGGCCGGGATAGCATACACGATGCATAAATACGGACTGCTAAAATTGCCAAGGTGGCGGCAAATCGTCATTAAATGAGTCGCAAAGATGTGGTAAGATTGGCCTTCATTCAAAACGGTGCTGACGTCACGCGCGAATCACACAATCGTGAAAATTTTTACACATAAAGCGGGAGAAAGATCAGTTCATAATGGGTGCAATAACCCGACCTTTAGTATACGCGTATCACGTGCAATGTTTAACAAAATCGGGAATTAAAAACCTGGGTAATAAATCAGCATTGAGTGTGGTCTAAAGCGATGTGAGCGGCATAAGGGTAGGGACACGTACGATTCTTGTGGGTAACAGTATACTTTCGGACTCACTAGAACAAACAAAAACCGCAGGATTTTGTAATGCGCGACTGGTCATCATGAGGTTTAAACGGATGGGAGATATCAAGGAAAAGAAAACAAAATGCTGAAAAGTGGGGAGTTTAAAAGCAGAAAGACATTGGAGCAATTATTTAAATTAAACTAATATTTGGTGCTTGTCAATTCAAATGATAAGTACAACCAACAGGATATCAGAACTGCTAAGTAGTGCCCGCGAGTTAGATACAATCGTGTGTCGATTCTGTATCCACTTCAAATTTTCACGTAAAGCTATGAAAGATTACTTTTTTCCTAACTTTTAAAAATGCTAAATAGTTTCTAATGTAAACATATGTCGCCAAAAATTAAAAGCAAAATACGCTTAAATGAATCTTACTAAATTAAAAGTAAACTAAGAAATAAAGCCAAGAAAAACTAAAATAAAACTAATAAAACTCAATGATAAACTAAAACCTAACTAAGTAAACTGGGCTAACAGGATTGACAGATCGTACCCAAGAAGGTGTCAATCCCATCAGATGTCCCATTAATCAAGCAGTAAAGCTCCCATTCCCAGCATTGTCAAAGTACTCTACATGTCGGCAACTAACAGGACAGAATACCTGGCAACTGGTACTGGACGAAAAATGAGTTAAAGTGGCGTGGTTTTCGATTATTTGTAAAGACCACAGTATTTCTTAGCGCGGTACCGTTCCTTGATTAAAAAATAAAACAAAAATGAATTTTGCATCTCTAGACTAGCGTTAATTATCTTGATAATCAGACATTACCAACAAAATAAAAGTGAAGTCGCTTTCAGAAGAATAAGAAGAAGAAGAAGAAAAAGGAGAGAATTTTATTCACCTGACTTCTTGATATCCCTCGCGGATACATAGTCCGAGACCAAAACATAAACAGATAATTCATACACAGGGAGGCTCAGTATTTATGGTGCAATCGATAGGGTACTGATAATTAACGGCCCCTCGTTACTGAACATTGTTGTCCGTTTGTGCGCTAATTGCTTGATGGTCGGCAACAGATCGTGAACTGGTCGTTAGGGAACGCGTTCGCGTGTTTGCTCTCCGAGTGGCGAATAGCACCAACGCAACTAAGACTCAGCACCGAATATAGATTATGCAGGTTATTGCACTTCTTTGTAAATTATAAAACTGTAAACCATGATTCAAACAACTTGCGCCTCAAATGTTTGACACCTATCGCGAGAATCGTATTCTTCTCAAATATGAATGTGTCATCCAGTTTCTCGAATGAGTCGGGCTTTGGAAATTAGCATCATTTATTCGCACAGCCACCGCAAGTACGCCAATTTGCGTCTTGAGGAATCTTTTCGTTGTTCCGACGTAGTTTCTTTCTCTGCACTTTAAACAGATACTTTGCGATACTCCATGTGTTTCTGGCAGTGGCAGTCGGTCTTTTGGTTTCATTATCTGAAACTTTCTAATTGCCATCTGTCTGTGTACGAGTCCGACCCTGGGTTGTGTGACAAAGCGACCGACTGCCTCCGAGACGTTTTTGACAACTAAATTCCTCGCCAACACGTTGGTTAGGTGCGAGCTTGTCGCTCTTAACATCAGATTTCCTTACAGCAGTTGAAAAAATTAAGTGAATAGCCGTTGTCTCCGAAAGTTTGTCATATATATTTGATTTTTGCAAACTTGTCTTCCGGTTAGATGCTGTGCGTCTCAACACGTCCATAAAGCGTCGTTTTGTCACTGACTTTGTGGCTGATTGAGTTTTAGCTGTTGAAATTCAGTACATGCATCGTGTTTCGCGTTTTCTTGAACGCCGCAAGCTTTGCGGCAGAGGAGGACATCAATTGTGACCAGCTAGCTGTCTTCTTTCTCTGCTATCATAAATTCTATAGCCAGAAAGACGATGTTAACACGTTCTTTGAACGCCAGCACCTGATCCCGGTCGATGACGACGACGGTAGCATCACCATACCGCGTCTAAGTTGTCGGTTTGTGGTGTTGGAAAACTAGAAACTCTAACTCTCGTAAGGACCGCGTCGAATATGAGTGCCCAAATCGGGGAGCCCATTGCTGTTCTATTTATCTGTTCGTAAATTGTTCCGTGAAATGTGCATTACGTCCGGAGACAGAATACCTGCAAATACAAGCAGGCAGGAAGTAATTAAGAAGAAGACAACTCGGTCGCATGGACAATACTTTATTTGCCTGAAGTTTCGAAATCCGTGGCGGATTCATCATCAGAGTCATTAGCATAAAACGGTAGCAGAAATGGATAATACACGCACAGGAGTTTGCAGTATTTATAGGATGCCGTCAGTACTGCAAACACACGGCGACAATTAACGTTAATTGTCTTCATGCGCGTGGATAGTTTGTTGAACGGCATGCGGGCTCTGATCTGTCGAAGTTTCGTCACGCGCGGTGGACTCGGGCGTGATGATTTCTCAGCCATCTGGCCCTCCGGTGTTGGCGTAGGCTGGCGCGGTGGCCTGTCCGTTCCCGAAGTGGCGACTTGCTTTGGCCAAATTGACTCCCAGCACCAAATATGGATTGGGCAAATCGTTGCACTTGTTGATGGATTTGGAGCCCATCGGCTCACTCGACTGTCACCTCTTGCGAGAATTTCGGCCTCATCAAATTTGAATGTGTGAGTCTCGTCGAATGAGCCGCAACTTGAGAATTGGCATCATTTCGCCGCACTGCTGCCGCGAGTTCGGCAATTAGCGTCTTGAGAAGTCTGCCAGTTTCTCCGACATATTTGCTTTGCCCGCAATTGCACCAGATCCTGTAGACAACCCCAGAGGTTTCTTGCCGTGGCAGCGTGTCTTTCGTCCTCGTTATCTGATGCCTGACATCTGACATCTGCATTTGGAAGATTCGGGTATGCCCTCGGCTATTCTCCGTCTAAGTGCATTTGCTTCGTAGGGACAGGTAAACGGCCAGATATTATCCAGGAATTCACATGCATAGTGGCTACGTTTGCGAGCAGATTTACAGAAATATTGTTGTCAAATGTGAGGACTGATAATTGTGCAATACTTGTTGGCCCAATACGGACACGACATATGCCAAGTCGTTAAACACAAGACCAGTGTAATTTGATAGTATTTGTTTTCCTTAGAACACAATACTTCATGTTATAAAATGCTTAGGTTGACATGCTCTTGATCTACATCAGGTTTAGAAATGCGGCTCATAGGACAATCAGATTTTTTATGTACTATTGCTTTAGACTGTTATGAATCAAAATACTTCAGTTTTCAAAAGTCTAGACTGATTATCTCTCAGTATCTCTCAGTAAAGCGCTATGACGCCACTATGAATCACCAGTTCGCCATGACGCAGGGTCACTAAATATGATGATTTATTACTGTGCGCTTGCCGTCATATTGTTAGCTGCAGTTTTTACATGATTATTAATATTCTGGAACACATAAACTAAGGTTATATAATGACCTTGGGATATTTCACGTGAGAAAGTAATCGCAAAATGTCCTTAAGGATAGTAATTGGTCGTAGATGCCGAAAGGATTACGAATGTGGGAGGTACAATCTCATTAACTTTCACCATAAACAATACGGGAGCGGAGTTTTTCGTTCAAAACCTGTCCTCGTTCTTTTATTAATAAGACTAGGTTGATCCCCAAAACATAAAAAAACTGCTATCTGTTCTGCAATGCAGCATTAGCATATGACCCAAGACCACACGTGTGACATTAATATAACTAGGGTTGGTGGTACGAATAATGGCTGCACGATGACATCATGCACTGACCTCTACTGAAGGCACGAACTATGCGAGTCTGCAGCAATTAACAATTAAGAACAATTTTACTTGTACATTCTTTGATTGGGTGAGCGCTTTATAACACAGGAAACCTTTTGACAAGCCCAAATGTCTCTTTTGAATAACAGTACTTTTACCTAATGTTGACGGATAATCGGTTTGTTTTAGCACCTGGGCCTACGGTGAAGACGTGTGATTTGCGTGAGTGAAACCTTTTCCACAAAAGGCATGCTAAATTCAGCATTTTGCTGAAGGTAAGAACTATGCGAGTCTGCCACAGTGAGGCAAATCTCATTTGAAAACTACATGCCACTATACCTGGATTGTTTGAACTATTCATAACACCTTTTGACAAGCCCAAATGTCTCTTTTGAATAACAGTATTTTTACCAAATATTGACAGATAATCCGTTTGCTTTTGTACTTGGATACACGGTGAAAACGTGTGGTTTATTTAAACAAAACATATTCCGAAAAAACGCATGGGTAGTTTAGTAGGTTGCCTTCCCTTGTATATGAAGTAATAGTGCTTAATCCTTGAATTCTTAACAGTGCTGAAATAAGTTGTCAGACAAAAAGGTGTTAATGTGGGTTAGCTCATTTTGACTAACTATTTCAGAATGAGGAATACGAATACAAACTAAAAACGACGATTGGCCAGGTAGTGCTAAACTGTTATGTAGCATTCTGAAAAGACGCAGTTTACTCAACATTGAGTTGCTGCTTAGTCAGAACTTTCGATGCAGATATTTCCGCAACGCAATTGTAGTTTTCTAGTGACTCCACATTGAAAACATCAAACTTTTACCGTATATAACGCCAGTTTAATGATTTGATTTTCATTTGTTCCTACCCAGCGCCTTTACCATTCTGGTGAGTTCAGCATATTTTGAGGGAATCGCAACCTTCACCGTGACTTGTTCGCAATTTCAAAAAATGTAGGATCAGAATTCAAATGGATTCGCGTCCTCCAGTATGCAAAGTGAATTAGCTCCATTTTCCTTGACTACGGCAAAATCTATGGTGAAGAAGCACGTTTTTCTCCACCTACGATGGTGCGTTTGCCTAGAGAACTGCGCATTTTAATTTGCCCTTCACGAATGGATATATACTTACATATCAACGCACGACTTTATCGGATTTTTTCGCAAAATTGTTAAATTTTACTCAACGCTGTCGACCCTAGCGGATGACAGGGCTCTTATCGGATCATACATAAAAGTCAAACAAGTCGTTTTTAAAGAAATGATGCATAATTTCAGTGGACGTCGTACGGTAAATGGTGCCATCACGGATGCAGAAGTGAAGTGCATCATCCTTTACACAATATTATTTACCTATGTCAAATCAAAGTGAAAGGCCTGTTCTGTTAATGTCTTTAATCTGGCTGTTAGATTTAACGAGACGTCGAATTTGAACCACATAAACCCATTAATGGCATTTTTGCCACGACCAAGAGTGCATGCCTCTCTGTCATTGTAATTTACGCTACAGTGTTCGCACGGTAAGAACTAAGTTAGGTGATAAAATCTCATGTTATATGACGATCTTGTGTTTTCCCACGTGAAAAATTTATTGCTTATTTCCATAGCAAAATGCAGTAAACGACAGGGAATGTGCGCAGACTTCGAATTGATATCGCACGTGTAAGGCGCAATATAATGAGGTTTCATGACAAACAACACGGCACGATAAGAACTAAGCTAGATGATAAAACTTCAGGCTATTCGATGACCTTGGGTTTTCCCACGTGAAGAAGTAATTGCCCATTTCCATGGCAAAACGGTAGGGATTCGGCGCGGATGTCTAAATTATAAATCACGCCTTTAATTCCGTTCATGGGAAATGTTTTTCCTGAAAACATTAGAAATGTTAATAAGGCTTTAAACACAACAATTGCATGTTCAGCAAGAGTCCTTTTTTGACATGATAGGAAGTAAGCTAGTTGATGCGAACACTGGCTGCCTAACAGTCCCCCATTGATGCCGGGAGTATGCAGAAACCTCTAGTCACAGCTAAATGTTACAAATGGAAGTACCTGGGCGCAGAATTTGAATACGAGTGGACAAAAAAATTAAATAGTTGGAATACAACTATTTTTTCCACATTTTGTAAATCTTACTAAAAATTCAACCTTTTTAGTTAACTGACAGAAAATCAAAAGCAGCATTGAACGTACGGTATGACTACAGTTTTGGGTAGGATTAACAGGACTAAGGTGTATGACATGGACGTTTGGAACGGAAGGGACGCATGTAAACCATATGGAGGCATGCGGACAGAGCGTGCAAGCATAACGAAGTTGAAAACTGGAATACAAATTCTTATCCTGGATCCGTAAGAAATACAGTGAACTATATCAATGCCATCTTTCAAGTTAGCTGTGAGTCGTTACATAGGCGCAACATTTTGCATAACTTAGAACCCATTATGGTGCATGTGGAAAACATTATGTGAAAAGGCGTTCTATTTTCAAAATTATTTCTTCTGCAGTCTTATATTATCATTATTGGAATAACAAATAATTCTCGTGGGCATCAATTTTGACAACTTGCCAGTAAATAAACGTAAAAAAGTCATAAAAGATCCTGCTATCTTAATGGACGTGTACTAAGCAATAGTATTCGCTCTTGCATCAGGGAAACTTACAAAGGCTGTAAGTCTATTTTATTAGGTGGGCTTAGTGACGTAGCCGAGCTCTCCAATACATCAGCAATGCAAAATATTATGTTCAACTGAGGGGGGGGTTACATGTCTTAAACTAAAGCCGTTTATTAAAATTTAACAATTCATGGAAAATCAAGAATGCAATTAGAATAATAATACCATCAAAAAGTTTCAAAATATATATCTGCTGTTATTTCTTTCTGTGAGAAAGGGTTAAATGCGCCGGCTAGCCTGTTGAATTTGGATTCACGATGCGTTCAAGGTACGCCAAATCGGTCCTTGACAATAGTAGAGTTTACGTAGTACACTTCATTAATCCCTAGTCCCAGCGTCTTGGCCTACGAGAACGGGGGTTTTAGGGTTTTATGCTTTGGGAATTAGGAAAGGCAGTGTAATATTCTGCATTCGTATTTTATTGTATTTATAAATGTAGTTGATTTATATCTGCAGGTTTTCGTAATCTATATTATTGTTGAACGTTTTGCGGAAATATCCGATTAGCAAATTGCAGGTTTCTTGAAGTTCCTGAAAAATAGAAATGGTGGTTATGTAGTCGTCTACTTCAACTTAACTGAGATCCAACCAACAGTTCTGGAGTTACATTACTTAGTCCACAGCGTGAAACGCCGCGCACACCTTCGATGTACATGCGCAACAATTTATTCCTAGCGGACACGGGAAACCAATACGACTATATTTTTTTTTTGATTTCGACTAACTTCTAAAAAATTTCTTCTCTGCTTATCCTACTTCCCCATACCCCACCAAAAAAAACCCTATAACCGCCGTTTCCTTAGGACAAATTACTAAGACCATGGGAATATGAGGTGCACTACTTAAATTACTTTTGTCGGTCATTTTCCGAGATGAACGAGATGGGCAATGTAAATAGAGCTAGGATTAATCGGGCCATGGGTGTTTGCAGCGAAAACCGACTTAATGGCAAAAGTAGCTTATTTAGATAGACTCATTTACCCCCTAGTCCCGACAATTTGTCCTGCAATAACGGTGTTTATAGAGTTTTGGGGGGTGGGAAAATAGGATAGGCGCAAAAACGGTGGTGATAGAGTTTTGTGGGGTGGGGAAATAGGATAGGCAGGAAACGGTGGTTATTGAGTTTTGTGGGGTGGGGAAATAGGATAGGCAGAGAAGGAAGGAAGTAAGTGTAAAGTGAAAAAATGTAGTCGAAGTTGCTTC